CCTGCTGACTTCATGTCCCAGCTGGGTATGTCTCCAGTGAATTACATTGAAATGACTTTTAAAATAGTAAGCCTGTAATTTAAAAGAGAAAATCCTGTTGAGACATCAACAGTGATATACCATTATTGATGCTGTAAGAGGTGCAATGTCACTAACTGAACCAATCTGTTAGAGGACAGTTTGTGAGATGGCTGTAGAAAATGAAATTGCTGAGATCGGTCGAGGTCAAAGAACTAAAACTCCTAGTAATGGATGTATTGTTGATACAGACTGCAGGCGTGCTCCTGGGCCATTCTAAAAACAAAAGTGCTATTTAAATACACTGTATGTGTTTCTTATTCATTAATAAAATTTGGCTGCACTTACCAGAAAACTTTTCAATTTATGGAAAAAGAATAAAGTACTATGTAGGACTAGGGCTCTCCCACTTACCAGCTGTGAGTTGTAATTAGCAGACAAGGCTACTTGAATGCTACCATGTCCCAGTGGTGCCTTTGTATTTTGTTTATGTGTGGGGAAAAAAGGAAGAAGATACAAAACGTAATTTTGAGAGAGACTTCTTTTTTTATCTGACTTGCTTAATGGCAGATGCATGAGGAGAAACAGAAAAGAACTGATTGTAAATTCTCCAGTGAGTCTCTCAAGAGAGAACAGTACATATTCTCACTGGGAAATACTCACTTTTAACCAAGAAAATTAACCTTAAAAGATGTTGTTTGGTCTCAGGCTGACAGAATGGATGTTGCAGTGAAGACCCTTGGCCTGTACTTAGCCCTTGGGGAGGGAAGGAATGCTAATGCTAACTTGGGGACACCAGCATCAACCCTTGCCTGTGATTCACATGTTTTTGCAAAGCTAAAATTCTGGTTTCATATATTCTATTTCCTCCTTTTTCCTGTTTATAAATTAATTTCACTGTCCAAAATGATGTGCTTTTCATTTTGTAAATAATATCTGCAACTGAGCTCTTCTTCCATGAGAGCACGGCTATGATGACTGAGGTATTGAAGGTTAATCAACCAAACAGGTTGGGCTCTCTGCATAGGCAGCTTTGTACATCCTAAAATCAAATTGGGAAATTTTGATTGTGGGGACACTGCTCTAAATGACAGCAAAATTGATGTGTACACTGGCATTTGAATCAACAATAAATACCATTTCCCTAGCCCAGGAGGTTGCTTAGGTAAATGTTGTTCTCTTTCACTCCTCCTGGCCATGTCTGGTATGCAGAAGTAATATGCGTAGGTAATATGATCGAGCTGTCAAGGATGTGGGCCCTGTATTTATTTGAATTGGTTGCTTATGGGTATAACTGTGTTGCCGTTGCAGGAAGCAGTACAAGTATTGATTAAGCACTCAGCTGATGTCAATGCTCGGGACAAGAACTGGCAGACACCGTTGCACGTGGCAGCTGCGAACAAGGCAGTGAAGTGCGCGGAAGTCATCATCCCCATGCTGAGCAGCGTCAACGTCTCAGATCGAGGGGGGCGGACGGCATTGCACCATGCAGCTCTGAATGGCCACATTGAGGTGAGTTGTTTAAGAGCGTAATTGATCCTTGATTGATTTATTTGTTTTCCCAGTTCAAACAGTTGATCTGCTGTGGCTGGGTCTAGACTGAGCCCCATACCCCTGACCCAACGATTCCTGCTTTCCAAACTGTGCGCCAGGTTTCCTACCTGCAGAAATCAGAGAGTGGCTGGAAAGTACTTGTACAGAGCTGGCGTGCCAGTGAGGTGTGCATGCAAACTTGGAGAGCTGGCCGCACCACCTGCTCCAGCAACTCAGAGGTGTCCTTGGCTGTTTAGCGTTTGACTGCCTGCAAAAATAAGAGTGGCAGAATGGAAAGAAGGGAAAACTGGTGGATTCATTTAATGCTCAAGACATGTTCAGCTGTTTGAGTTCTAGTCAGTCTGCTTTTCTAATTAACCTTCCAGAAAATGTGCTTCTGGTTTTTCTACTTATCTTACACAAGCAAACCCTTCTAGTCCGATTCCTATTTCTCTATGAAAAAACATTCTTTTGTATATAAAGCCCCTATGTAAAGGGTTTTGCTAGTGTCTTTAGATCTGGGTGAAAGGACCCTCATTTGCCCATTCCACACCTGAAGATCTAAATATGGAATAAAAACTCTTTCACTGGAACAGTAGGTGTCTGTCAACAAAAGTTGATCAATTGTACTGTAATTAAAAGAAGGAAGAGAAATGATAGTTCCTGTAAAAAAAAAAGATGGTGTTTGGCCTTTAAAATACTGCACTCTGGGAAAAAGATAGTAATGCTTGAGTCTAACCATCATGATCTAAAGCTCCTGAGCTTTTGGATAGAGTGTATCAGAAATGTTAACTGAATATATGCTGTTATTAGCTGATTTCTTTCCTGTGGCAAAGCAGTGTATGAGAGGAAGACAATCATCCAGCTCTGTAATTTATGATTTTAGAATGTTTTGCTGGAAAAGATAGTTGTTGAACGTGTTTTCCATTTAGTTTCCTTTCTTTTCCTCCACTTATTTTTTTTTATGTTTAATGTTGGATGATTGTCAATGGGGAAAGCAGCTTTTTACCTCTTGGCCACGCTGTCTAAAATACCCGCGTCGTATACTAAGCAGCCTGGTGCCTGTCCTCCCCGCCATGGACACATGGGAACTTCAAGAAAATCACTGTGGTGTGGCAAGAAATAAACACTCCTTTTTAAAAGATCAAGCAGATTTTAGGGTTTGTTACCTCATGGTCTGGAGGAATCTTGTCCCGACCCACGAGAAAAACCTTTAAATTGGTCTTAACAGTAAAAACCAAGAGCTGTGTTTCTCTTCCAGGCCTGTTTCTCTTCCAGGTTGTTTGCCAAGCTGAATTTGAAGCACACTGGAGTAGCAGCGCCCTGCCTGCTCTCAGCTGCCTCTGTGGACACTGAACTTGTCCTGGTCACTTGTGGCCATCACCGGTCCATGTCATTAATGCACACAGCTTTGAACAGTATTTGTGTAATTCACAAACTTATCATTCAAAAGCAGGATTTTGTGATCCCAACTTTATTGTTGGAATGATTTTTTATAAACTGTGGCGTGTGTGATCTACAGGGTTGGTTTACTTACTGCTGTTACTTCTAGATGGTGAACTTGCTCTTAGCCAAGGGGGCAAACATCAATGCTTTTGACAAAAAGGACAGAAGAGCTCTTCACTGGGCAGCATACATGGGTAAGGCTTGGGCTGTTGCTCTTTCTTTTTAATTTCCTATTTGCAAACCAGCAGCACGTTTTAAAATGGACAAGAACAGACCTGGTCACGGAAAATGAGCGTTGTATGTACCCTGAAGAGGGAAGGGTTCAGCTGACATAAATACACACTGTCCATTTATGGTTTTGCAGCTGGTGAGAACTTGGCTGTGATTTCCTTTTTAACACAGTTAATTGTGGGCTTTTGTGTGGCTTTGTTCATTTTGGTCTTTTTATTCTGACTCTAATCCCAGCCTGAAGTATATTTGGGCTTGAAAAAGGTTATATTTGTTTCAGTTTTGCTAAAAACTACTTCATACAAAATGCAGCTAAATACAATCATAAATTTTGCTGTTTATCTATGTTTATAAGTAGCTAAGTTGTTATATTGTTTGCAAGTGCTTCAGAGGCTTTCCTCCTGTTAGGAGCAAGTTGTCATCTTTTATTCCAGAGTACACAAGAGCAACTGATTCATCTATTCAAAACATCAGTGGTGTTATTAAATACTGCTTAATTAAATCAATTGACCTTATCATTCCTTTCAAGCTAAAGGAAAATTTCTTATAGTGGGGCATTATAATTTAAAAATACTAGAACCAGATTGCCTGTGATAGTGGTCACGCTTGTTCAAGAGCCTTTGTTGGCCAAGCAGTATATTCCAGATTATAATTTGTGAGGTGATGTGTGCCCTTGGCCAGGAACTCTTTCATCTAACCTGTCAAAGCCTTGATTTTAATCCTGGCACTTTTGGAAATGAGATAATAGGAGATTTCAAACTGTGAGAAAAGCATATTGTGCATTATTTTGATATACACAGACAGATGGAAAGACTTTTGCCAATGAATCTGATTTGGCTTTTGAGCCACTGAGATTTGAACTCCACTCTGTGGACATGAAAGGCTTTTACACTGTGCTGTGCAATTCCACATCTCTTTTGCTCTTAATCCTTTTCAGAAATTCATGATGTACTTATCAAAATATTTAGATAACATTTAAGTCCTAAATCAGCAATGGGATTTAGGAGTCTGTAGTGTAACTTGGACAGAATTTAGATAATGAAACTTGAGCATGTTATCCTGTAAATCCTCATGTATTTTCTTGAATGCTTAAATATCTTTGGGCAGTTCGAACTTTGTCTGTTAAGTGTCATAGGCCCTGCGCATGACCAGAGCTGCCTTTGTCAACTCAGTGCTGTACAACTCAGATGGTTTGCAACTTTATGTGGTGTTTGATGTAATAAATTTTTATTTCTAAGAAAGACAGCTCTGCTTCAACATGAAGCAATAAAGACTATTCCTCATTTAGCCTTGATTTAATTTTGGTGGTTAGAGTACCATCTGGAAAGGCAGACCATAAAGTTTGAAACCTTCAGGGAGAGGAGGAAACTGAAGATACAGGTGGCTTATAAGTTGCATTTTGAGGTGCTCAGCTCTTCCTCTGTATTCTATAGGGAGATCCTAATTCAGGGGTAGGCATTTCACTCCTGAAGACAGACGTCCCATCAATTTGATGGCAGTCAGCTCTCAATCAGTGTGACTGTTGAGGCTATTGCAGTTATTTTAGTTTGCAGACTAAGTATGTGTGTACAGACTATGACTTCAGATTCTAACATTTTTAGACTTACATTCAGGATTTTTTGCATGGTTTTGTGTTAATGATACAGTTTTGGAGAGTCAGACACCTGATCCAGAGATCAATGGATTCCTATGTTTGTATTGGTATGCTTTAGATCAAATTCTGCACTCACTTGAAAATTTAGTTTTCTGTGTCCTCAATGCTGCTGGAAAAGAGGATTCCTTCATTTTATCATTTATTAACGATATTTTGTATTGCTAACAAAAACCAACAAGTGTTAGCAGTTGTGTCTGCAGATGACATGAACAGGATGCTCTTTTGGGAGACCTGTATGCATTGTCATGCGCCTGTGCTCACTGTTCTTTCTCTAATGGGGAGAATAAACCACAAACTGTTATTTTTAGAGAAATAAATGGGAGAGAGAGGTCATTTTGTTCTCTTAATGACTGGAAAACTAATTCAGTAAAGAGAAATTAGGCACATCTGGTGAAGGTGAATGTCTATTGCATGGATTTCTTGACAAGGCCTGGAGCTAGGATTAAGAACATTTACAAAAATGTTTTTTTCCCCCTTGTAAAACTCTGAGTGCATTGTGAAACAGCAGCAAAAGGAGCAGTGTGTTAACAAGAAAGCAGTAATTTAGGACAAGTGATGCTATAGGATGGTATACTCATTGATTTCTATCTTTCATCTTTTGAAGGTCACCTGGAAGTTGTTGCCTTACTGATTAATCATGGTGCAGAGGTGACTTGTAAAGACAAGAAGGGTTACACCCCACTTCATGCAGCTGCATCCAATGGGCAGATTAACATTGTGAAACACCTTCTTAACCTGGGGGTAGAGGTATGTGGCAATGTGCTCTTTGAGGCTTCCATGTTTTTCACTATTTGAAGATATTTGTCCCCTCTTTCTTATGGATGCTGCTACAGGTATTGGCAGAGCTTTTAAAGAAAATAGTTCCCATTTTCTGGACCATGAAAAGCACCTTGTGCTTCATGTGGTTTATTACTTCAAGAGCCAGGAAACATTCTGGGATAAAAAATGCCTGATATGGACAGTAAATTCCAGGCCATCTTGCTGAAGAAATCAGGAAATGTATGCTGTTCCTGCAGAGGAAGATGGAATAATGAAATCTCCCTTGGCTCAGCATTCCCTTTGATAGGATGAGCAGTTGTTCTCAAGATATACACTGTGTACTTTACTAAAGTGCAGCTCAGGCTGTTTAAGTTTAGGGACCTGTATTTTCTCTGTAGTTGACAGAGGGAAGATGAAGGATTATTCTCACTCTGGAAAAGATCCTTTTTTTTTTTTTTTTAGGGCAAAGACTTCTCTCAGTCTGATATTGTTGATTCAGTGGTTCAAAGCAGCAGTGAGATGACCAGAAGAGTCTGCACTGGTTAATCAGAGATGTCAAATAAAGCCATTGCATTTGCTAGCTCTATAACCTGCTGACTTGACCTGGCAAAAAAATGTCAGAAGTCTGTGTTCATAGGCTATCGACTGTGAAGTTGAAGGGGAATAGGTGTTTCCTGTTATTAGCAGTACTATGCTAATAACTACCTTTAACTTCCACATTCTCTGCTACTGGGGATATGACCTTTGAGACTGCTGTATTTTGTGGAAGGGTATTCACGTCATCCCCGAGTCTTTTGTACAATCCGTCTTGTCCTGTTTTACAGAACAGCAGTTGAATTCTAAGCTGGTCATCAAGAAGTAACACAATCTTAATTACATCTTTATAATACTGAGCTACTGAAAGTGGTTTCTTATTGAAGTGCAAATGGATGTGCAGTTTCACCTTCCCTTCACTCAGACACCTTCATTCCCTTCCCAAAAGACATTTGTGGAAAGAGCTCTTAAGCCTGATTCTGTTCACAAAAATTCAATAGTTGGTAGTGTGGTGGGTTTTGGTTTGTTTGTTTGTTTGTTTTTTAAATAAGGATTGTGAGCTTTTTATTTTTCCTACTTTCCCACTTATATGTAAAAGCTTTCCAGCTTGTTAGGACTTTCGTCATCATCATCATCATTATCATTACGTAGTCGTGAACTCAGCTTTGAGCTTCAGATCGGCTTTTAGAAATTGCCAGTAAGACGAAAAGTTAATAATAGTAAAGGTAAAGGATTCCAAATTAAACTCTCTGGGAGTATATTTTTGTCAATGAAATTTCCTGGTGAGAAATATGCACTATGACAGTTGAAGCCTCCAGCTATTTCCTTTTGCAGTTTGTGATGCATTACGTAAAATGATAAGCTGATGTCTGTAATTTTAACTGTGTCTCCTTGTTTCATTTTAGATTGATGAAATGAACATCTATGGAAATACCGCACTTCACATTGCCTGTTACAATGGTCAGGATTCTGTTGTTAATGAGCTGATTGACTATGGTGCTAATGTAAATCAGCCTAACAATAATGGATTCACTCCCTTGCATTTTGCTGCTGCCTCCACTCATGGAGCACTGTGTCTTGAACTACTAGTGAATAATGGAGCAGATGTTAACATTCAGGTAAAACTTGTATTGCGGCTCTTCAGTTTTACTTTATCCTATTTTGCATACTTCAGGAGACTGGAAACTATAATAATGAGTACAGTATGGCTTTAAATCCTTGATGGAAATAGAGAGATGCTGAAACTGTTGATCATTAAATTGTTTGCATGAGATTACTTTCCAGCAGAGGAGTTCTTAGTGCCTTGATAAATATAATGACAGCCTTAAACTTTAGCCCAGTCACTCTCCTGAAGCCACAAACCACTGATAAAATATAGTCCCAGGAGTTCTGTCAAAATTTTATCTCAGGCAGTGGTGGTAAGTCAAGGAATTATTCCTTTCTGGTGTTTTCCTCCCCCCTACAAAATGGATGTAATTAAACCTGATTCTAACAAGTTCCTTTTGACTTTCCTGGGGAAGTAAGAACTGAAGGTTGGTTGTTTAGCTGTTTTAGAGCCTGAATTTAGAAAGTTGGATTCTGTTTAGGATATATGAATGCTCTTGAGATACAATTGATGCATCTTAATGAAGCTGAAAGGGACTTGCTCTTATCCAACAGAGAGGGTACTGGTATAGGTACTAAAAGACTTGAGACCTTTGAGTTCATGTGAGATTTTGGCCACTTTAAACTCTGTGTTTCAGTTCCCTATGTGTAGAACTGGTCTCCTAGCATTTAACATCTCTGGCCAGTCCCTTGAGATCAGTGAATAGTCAGTGCACTATTTCAACTCAGAATTATCAACATTAAATTAGGGATTGTGCTTGCCAATGAATACGAAATCCCATGCCAATAAACATGAAGTGATATGAGTAGTGAGGCTGGTACCCTTCTCTTGCTATTTTCTCAGCTCCTCGGCTTTCCCAAGCTCAGTTTCTTTCTCTAGAACCCAAAACCTTGATCTCTACTCATTCTATCTTTCCTTTCATATGCCTTCCCTGTTTTCTAATTGTCTTTTGTAGACATCCTATTTTTGATTGCATGGAAAATTATTAACCAAAACTTTTTTTTTAGTATAGTGGCTTTTATTCTGGGATATGTCTGTAACATGCAGATTGATAAATAGGATATATTTCTTTAATCTCTCAGAGACGGCTCCTACTTAGCTTTGTGATTCATTTGCTTTTCTTTATTCCTCTCATTGCAAGGATTAGGGGAAAATAATGACTGAATGGGAAATGTTACTTACATATTATTCTTGAATATTATTTTTCATATATCTGTATGTTCCTAGCAAATATTGTATGCAGCCAGGCCTCTGAGGACGGGGTCCACTCCAGCCCATTTCCTACTCATTGCTGAGGAACTGTTTTACTTGTATGCTTATACCTTTTGCATTTATCATCGTGCATAGATTCAGTCCTACAGACTTTTGAAGACAGCGGAGGTTTTATCAGAAGAATAAAGAACTGTAGGATGTTGAGCTAAGAGACTTCAAATTATTACCACCGCTTCACATGCTAAATGGTAGTTTTTCCATTTTGTTTCTGTTAGAGTAAGGATGGGAAGAGCCCGCTGCACATGACAGCTGTCCATGGGAGGTTCACGCGGTCGCAGACCCTCATTCAGAACGGTGAGTTTCTGTACCTCTTCCACAACTCTCCAAAAGATTAGGCATTTTCAAGGTTGCAATTTTTAGTTGTTCTTTCCCAGAGAGCCACAGGACTGCTCTGAGAGCTGCTTAGCTCTCCATCAACTTCTGGCTTTGAGCTGCACTGACAGCTCTCACTCCAGTGTGCCATCACAAGTTGAGATTTTGATTGTTAACAAAATCCCATATTCCTCCAGCTGCTCGTGGTCCAGCTGATCTGTTGTGATTCTTAACCTGAAAACAGGAGTTCAAAGCTGTATTTAGGTCTTTTATCAGCTGACAAACAGACACAACTTTCTTTCTCAAGTGATTTAAAAACTAAAAAAAGAAAAAGTTTCAAGTTGTCCTCCCTTGGGAGCCCTTGTGTTCTCAGACCATTTTCTCTACCCTCCATTCATCAGCTGTACGTAGCTCCCTTAGCTCCATACTTTGCCTCTGTCTTCATTAAGTGTTGAATAAATACACAAGAGGGTGGACCAGCGCCACCTTGTTTGTTCTGGCATAGCCAGGATTCCTGATTATCAGTCATTTATCAGACATCTTTTTTCTCCAAGAATACTACAGAGTATAACAAATGTTATTGTTGGAGATCTGGCAGAGGCCCGTTTCCAATCGACAGAGGTTGCTGTTACTGATTGTTTACTTATGCTTCCTAGCTTTGGCCACTGTACCAGACAAGATGGTCTGGGGTTGATTGGTTGGTTAGTTGGGTTTTTTGTTTGTTTTCCAAAATCTCCAACTTGGAACTTAAGTGTGAGATGTTGAAGGTGGCTGAACAGTTGCACTGTAAATGTAATGGCACATTTACATAAGATTGTATTTTGAAATGGAGGTCTTCAGTACATCATGCTTCTTTCAGGTTGTCATGCAAGTTGTTGTCATATCTCTCCTTGAATAAATAAAATAGTAATAATGAAAGGAGTTTGGGCAAACTGGAAGAAACTGTGCTCTAATGCCATTTTGAGTTGTTTAGTCAAATATGGTCTCTGACTTAAGCTGTTGTTTGCTCTCTATTGGATTTGTGTGTGAAAGGACTGGCTTTTCTGTCCTTCACGCCTCTCTACTCTTCTTCATGTTACTTGGGTTTCGCTTCTTTCTTTCTTTCTTTGCTGGCCCTCTAATTTTAGTATTGTAGACAGATCCGATTGCAAGTGACTTTATGCCTCATTGCCATGGGATATTGTGAAAGAGAGAAATGTCAATGATTTAAAGAAATGCAGTTTCATTCTGCAGTACTTAATGAGTTGGCTAAAGACACCTCAATTTCTGGCTGCTGTCTCTAGCGACTTGTAGAGGAAGAATGGATTACCTTAAAATTGGAAAATTGCAAATGTGATACTTTAAAAATGGGGAAAAAGAAATGCTGGAGAATTTTACATAGGTCAGCCAAAAATTCTGAAATGAGTGAAAGAACAAACTATTTGTCAACACTTAGGGAGGAGTGGGCAATATCTGGCATAGATTTCTCAAAAGATGCTGAAACATCATAATTCTCTTCTACAGCAGGGTAATAGGCTTTGTGAACAGCGCACAGGCCTCCGACTTTTCTGCGGGCAGGTAATGTTCGTGGAGACCTCCACTGGTGGAGGCTCTACCCCAGGGAACCTGTTCCCGCATTCCATTGACCTTTATTTACTTTTAGAAAATACTGTATAGTGCTTTACTGGAACTTTTCTTGTTGTAGTTATGGCCTGTTATCTCCTGTGAATAGCGGACATGCAGTAAATATTGCCATATCCTGATGTCAGCAGGACTTTTTACGTGCTTTCATAAAATATTCTCACAGCAAACTAGTGGAGCACGGTCTAGATGAAGATATTGCAGTGTGGGTTGAAAAACTACACTCAGAGGCTAGTAATAAATGGATCATTGTTGAAATGGAAGGTGTAGTGAGGGAGTTTTCAGTTTCCCTCCTGGGTCTGGTACTATCCAGTATTTTCATTAACAACTTGGACAGTGGAATAGAAAATGTGCTTTTAACACTTTTAGCAGTTGGGAGAGATTGTTAGTTTGGCAGAAGGTGGAGTCAGAATGGAAAATGATCATGTAAAAGTGGAGACAAAAGTTATAATGCAAGTGAAGCAAAGGAAGGATCCCCCACACAGGCAGGAGTATCAGTTGGACAAGTACAGAATGGCAACAGCTGGGTTGGTGGCAGTTCCTCAAGAAAGGATCTGGGGCTTGTAGAAGATCAGGAAGATTGTTGACCACAAGTCAACAGTGTCACGGTGCTTAAAAAGTAAAAGATCAACAATGTACATGGTGCTGAACAATGTACAGGAACATATAGATAGGAGCATAGCCAGCAGGCATGAAGTAATCCTTTGCTCAGCTCAGTGTTGGAAGATGTCAGCTGTAGTACTCTTTCTGGCTTTTGACATTTTACTTCCAGAAGGACATGGGCCAGCTGGAGAGGACTGGGGGAAGGACAAGAATAGTTGGAGTGCAGCAAACCTGACTTACAAGGAGAGACTGAAGAAATTACAGTTCCTTGGTCCAAAAAGAAAACAAGGACTTTACAGCAATCTTTGCATGGGTCAAAAGCTGCAGCAGAGAAGAAATAAATAATCTATTTTTCCTGCTTGTGAGGATAAAACACGAGATGACAGGCTTAAATTGCAACAGGAAAAGTTCTCCTTAAGCACTGTGTGGTTGTTCTTTGGTAAAACACAGAGAAAGCACACAACACACTTGTTGTTTGCAGCGTGTTCCTGTTAGCCTCTTGAACGACCTCTATTTAACATCATTGTCTTACAGGTAAGGTTGAGTGGCAATGTCTTTACGAATGAGGGCATAGTTTCAGCAGTTTATTTTTTTAGGTTAATTCAAGGCATCCATTTGTACCTTTAGATAAGGAACAAGTCTGAATCATGTACTTGGCCATTGTATGTCATGCATGTTCGTGTTGTGTTCACCTGTTTCCCTCCATTTCTCCCCACCACTGCAGTTGGAGAGGGAGGTGAAAATGCTGTTGTCAGACTGTCTTCAGTACCAGGGGCTGACAGCTGACAGCTTGCTGTGTGCTGGTTCTCATCTCTGAAACTTGGTGTCTCTATGGCTGGACTGATTATGCTGCATTCACTAGAGAGAAGTAATGTTTATGGTCACTGGTTCACACAATATTCCAGTGTTAAACTGTAGGAAAATGTCTTTTGCAGGAGGGGAAATTGACTGTGTTGATAAGGATGGTAACACCCCTCTGCACGTGGCTGCAAGATACGGACATGAGCTTTTGATTAACACCCTCATAACCAGCGGAGCTGATACTGCCAAGTAGGTGGCTGAAATGGAGCTATTTCTAATGATCAAGTGTTATGTCTGATGCCTGGACACACAGTTACTCCTCGTCTTCTAAAGTGTGAAGGTTAAAATGGATAAGCATAATTGGACTGTACTTCAGTGGGTGACATGGGATTTGGGAAGTGTAGAGGGGAAGGAAGCCCTGCTAAATTGCTATTGCACCCAGTTACACGCTTAGAAGTAGTACAAGTACTGCTTCTTTTTCCTAAAGCATTGATCTGGCACAGTGGTATATAATGTACGTGAAGTACGTATGTTTATGAAGTGCATCTTGATAGCGGTTATTCCAGAAAGGCTGTAGCAATGAGTTTGTATAGGAAATGTAATTGAAAAAAATTCAGATGCCTTCCAAATGAATTGTGAGTATATTCCTTAGTACCTAAATTAGCCTAATGTTTAGTGGCCTGTCATATACAGGGTGATTATTCTTTTGTCTTGTATCTTTTGGTATGATGTAGGCTAATCAATAGAAATGCAGTATTGCAAAACAGATATTACTAAGTATTTCTGATATCAATATAAGTAGAGCCTATCTTGATGTTGCATGGTTTCTGATATTCAGGTGGCTGAAATAATAGGACTGCTTTTATGTGATTTGTGGGTTTGGGAGTCTTTTTTGAATAGAAGTACAAGGAAGTTTTTGTGTTTTGTTGGGGGTTTTTTCCTCTTGCACATGTGTCAAGACTGCACCCACAATATGATAAGTATTGTTGACTCAAACACTGGCAGGTGCTTGATTTTTAAGAGTACTTGAATATTGGTTAGTTTTGTTTAGGTTCTTATGGTCTGTCAAAAGAAAATAGCAAACCTGAAGGTAAACAAAGGGGTATAAGAGCATAGTACTGCAATGCCATGAGGGATATCTGTACCAGATGTTTAATAGCAGGATCTGATTTCATGAATTTGAATTCATGAATTCAAGTTTTTGGCAATTAGCTCTACATGTCTCCAAAATAATAATTTAAGAGTCTTCTACCTAGAACCTACCATAGAAAGCAGTGACTTCTCTTGACTTACCTAGTCAGGAAAACCTGCTTTCAGATGCAAATGAGCTGGTTTTAATTCTGAAGATACTTGCAGCTCTCAGTATTTTGTTTGTTTGCTTGAGGATGTTTAAGAAAATGGCACATTTACCCATATTCCTTTATCAAGTATGACTGTCATCATGCAAACTTGGAAGGTGGAACAGATCTTCAATTGGCATTGATAATGAAATTCCACAGGCTTCAGCTAAGGTCTCTGGATTTTATTAACATAGACAGCATGAAGATCTTGGTGTCTAAATAGACGTACATTTTTCCTAGCTCTTTCTCCAGTACAGTAAGTCTCAGTTTGTCTCTTATCTTGAGGTTTAAAGGGAAGATGAGATGCGGTGGGATGGTCCATTCCTGGAATCAGGGTTATCCAGTTAGAAATTTCTGTTTCACACTTGGGTGACTGGAATGTTGATCAAATAAAATACTTTTTCCAGCAGCAGAAACAAGTGAAATGAGAAGTTGGCTCAGAGATACCACGCAGATGCAAACGATGCTACTGTGCTAAACAAGGAGCATTGAAACGCTGGGGATGGGCTTTCATATGTGCTGCATGTAAATAACTCTGGCTGAGCTCCCCGAACTGGCTTTGAAAAGAAAATTCTGCAGTGTTGTTAGCAACAACTGCAGACAGCTTGGTCAGTCTTTGAGGCAACTGCATTTAAAGGGGAAAGTGTGTAACGGATGGGAGGAACCAGTGTGAACAGCGCTATAGAAGTGTGACACTGCTTAGCAGATGCTTAGGTAGTGTATTTTGACGGAAACCGGCCAAAACATGCGTTGGGTGGAAATCTTGACCTAAAAGAAGAAAAATAATTGCTTGATAACTAGGTGGAGAAGGAGATAGAGGGAAATGGGTGTAGGAAGAAGCACAGCAATACAGAATGTCCAATGTTAGCTTAAATGAATCCACAGCTAAAAAATGCAACCTGTTTATACAGATGGAGCTTCTGCTGTTTCCATCAAAGAACAGGCTGTCAGATCATCTTTTAATACATTTACTCTAAGATGTAGATGCTGACACTAGCAAAATTGAAATTTGTATAGCACCACAAGTCACTCCTTAGTGTAGTGAAGTAGCAGGGAGGACAAATTTAATGTGAAGACAGAGGAAGGATGGGCCTGTGGATTCTGGAAAGAACGAGCTTTTTAAAAACAAAGCAAAACTAGTTAAATACATTTATGTATAAAATGTTGGAGAGAGCAAGATATCTTTATAAACATCCACGTTCATTTTTGTCTAAAGCATCGTAAGTAATTGTGATTTCTGGTGAATCTTGGAGAAAGACAAGTTCCTTCATCTTTGGGTCCATATCTGAAATCCTCTTCCACGAGGTGATGGTACTCTCCCATCAACCAATTGTCTCATAGAAATGAAAGGCAGACATGAATCCATCTGGTGTTTTTCAAGAGTTGGTCATTTTTTTACTTTCACCTCAGAATGGCAGTTGCAATATGTGTTGCTGATGCAGAAATCTGCACATCCCACAGCGGGAAATTGACTCCAAGCAATACCTGCGCTCTTGCTTCCTCCCTTACCTTGGCTTTCATCTTGAATTTTTAGAAACCTTCCTGCCACATTCTGTTCAAGGCATAATGCCAAGATTTTGCTGAATCAGAATATTTTTAACTCCCGAGAAGGCTGGTAAGGACGTACGGATAAAATTAATGCTGCAGGAAAAATCTTCCTCGAAAAGAATCAAAAATGCTGCCTTTGTGGAAGGAGCTTTTGATGTGTTGTGTCTGAATGCAACCTGCATTTTCACATCACTGTGTGTAATGAGACTGTTGTGCTTTTCAGGTGTGGGATCCACAACATGTTCCCTTTACACTTAGCAGCGCTGAATGCTCACTCAGACTGCTGCAGGAAATTGTTGTCATCGGGTAAGTAAATCCCACAGTGTCTGTGGAGCGCGAGTAGCGTGTGTCTCTGCTGCTTATGGCCCCTTTCTGCTCATTGCTGTGAATTGTTCAAATGAAAGACTTCCTGTGCTGCTGTGTTTGGCTGTGTGGTGCGGTGTGGTGCATGGAAGCGTGTGAGGCTTTCCTAACGGCATCCTGGTACTTCATCGCATCCTGTATTGTTTGTGTATGAGCCCTGTTCTCCTGGCAGGTTCAGAGTGTTTATATTAATTCACTGGGGAGAGGGAGGAAATTCAGGACCCTTTTCCAAACTGTAGGAATGTGAGGTACTGTTTTGGTTTGGGTTTTCCCTTGTCCAAAAGAATAATTCAGGAAATTATCTCCTTAGGGTCTGCACTGGCGCAGGTATTTACATCTCACTGACAATGATGTATTTTAGAGACAGCTAAAGCGTGTTTCTGAATCCGTCCAGAGTAAAGGAGTTAGGCTGGCCAAAGCTTGGTGGGCACGAGAGGAGAAGCAAGTGACAGTTTAGTGTGGAGACATCAGTCTCAGGAGAGTTTCAGCAGAAGAAGCAGGAGTTTGCTGATGCAACCATTTCAAAAGAGGCAGTAATCACGTGCCAAATCCCAAATTCTTTTTGTCCAGGCAAGAGTTGCCATGAGTTAAAAAAGCACAAGGCAGATCATATGCTTTTTCTAGAAAATTGCTTCATTACTTATCACATACAATCTCTTACTTCTTCTCCCGCAACTTGAGTCCTGTAGGATATAAAAAAAAGTGTGAAAAATGGCAATTACATACTCCATTACATTAAACCTTGGTGCGCTCTGGCCTTGACCACTAGATCAGGAAGGAAGAGAAAAAGCTTTGGGTGACCAGAGTTAATACGGCCAGGCTTATATCTTTGGCCTTGTGCATCTCGATGAATACCCCTGTGTATTCCTGGGAGCCTCTTTACAACCTGAAAACCACATGCAGTAAAAACAATCCCATTTCACATTCAGGCTGACTGTGTTTTTTTCTCCTTTCTTCATGTTTTCTGTCTTCATGTCCTGCTGTCGCAGTGCTCTTGATAAGCATCTGCCTCGTAAATGCCTGTCACATGGTTCTAAATAGAGATCTGGCATGGAGCTGGACGCGGAAATAGATGCTCGTCAACTTTGCAGCTCTTTTTTATAGAGCTGCCAAACTGGAGCAGCCGCTCGCCATTCCTGTGACAATCTCTTTCTGACTGTAGTTGCTTGCGTTCTGTTTTTTTCCAACTAACTGATTCTTCTGTCTCTGCAATGTTTCTTGTGGTTTAACTAGGACAAAAGTATAGCATAGTGTCCTTGTTTAGTAATGAGCACGTGCTGTCTGCAGGCTTTGAAATAGACACCCCCGACAGTTTTGGAAGAACGTGCCTCCACGCTGCTGCTGCAGGAGGGTGAGTAGCTCTGACTGTAGCTGTTGTAAGTTATTTTGTGGCTTTGTTGCAGATTTGGTGCCAGCCAATTTGACTGTGTCATCCACAGAGGAACTTGTTGCGGTGCAAGGGAAGCAAAGCGGTCTGATGTCAAATTCTGGTCACTTGAGGCTGCTTTTTGCCACTGCCCTCGTGTAGGTGTTGCTTGCAAAGTAATGGAGGTGGTCTGATTCCCTCTACCACAGACAGCTGGGTTGTGATTAGAAGTATGGATTTCAGACACAGCGTAACCCCCTTCCCTCCCATGCCCCTGTGAAAACTGTTTCAGCTTTGGGTGGAGGTGTTGCATACTCACCCAGCTCTGTGCTTTGGCCACAATGGTCGCTGAGGGCCAGCAGTCAGTAGGAAATTGTCGGTTCCTAGGGCAAAGTGAGTGAGGAGAAGGAGCTGTGGCTCCTGGGATGCTGCTGGCAGTGCAGTTAATCCTGGCCTCCACCTTTGGACTATGTCCTTGTCCAAAAATGCACTATGCAACAGTGCCCATCACATTGCAACCCTGGTGTCCAAATGCAGCTCATCTCCTTCTTTCCCATTTTTCAGGTGCAAGTTTAAAAGTTTCTAAAAGAAAAAATAAACCAAAACAACAACAACAAAAACCCAAACCAAACAACCCCTCAGCCTCCAAATTAGAAAGTGAAAAGACTGTTGTTCTTTCAGGGTGATGCATTCCTGATAAGTGCTGGGAGGCCAGAAAAGGAAACAAATGAAAACTGAAATATGTCAACGTTTCAGTTGTAAATGTAGCATCCAGTTAGTTTAAATATTTCCAAATAATTGGCAGTTGAGTGCTGTGAAGTTAACCTAGCAAAAGGACAAACATTTGGCAAGCACTGAATTTTGACTCTTCTGTTGAGGACTTTATGGCTCAGAAAACAGCTGAAATGGAGCCTTGGCTAGAGCCCAGCTTGGATTCTCTGTGGTTAAAGCAAGCAGAAATGGTCATCCACAGCAAATGCTTGGCAGTCTTTCTGGAAGTTGTTTTTCCTTCTTGGTGGACCAAAATGTGTATCACAAAGTTTTCGTTATTACAACTAATAAAATTGATCCAAGTAGTGCTTTTGTTATTCTTATGAAATTATTCTTCTTGATACTTGTCTCATATTAATAGAGGAGGCATGATTGTTGCTGGGATGGAGATTATTATAGAGTAATTCAAATGCTCCCTCTTTGATAAGGCCCAAAAGAATAGTAGAAACACCCTGGAAGCCCTAAAGACAAGAAGAGTCTTCATAAGAAGCAAAAGTGGCTCATGAAAATAAACCATACTTTTCCAGTGGTTTACTGCAATTGTCATTACTAACAAGTGTTTTTATTTTTAGTACCTTGTGGTGAGTGTTCTGTAGCTATTTTATGCAATAGCAATTTAGAGTAGGGATGAATGTATGCCAACATATTGCATTCAGTCTTTTTTTTTTCCCTGGGGCTGGAGCTATACAAAAGGCATTCATTTTTTTCCTGACACATACCTGTTATTCCCATTACATTAATGGGAGTTTCATGGGTACTAGGAAAAGCACATACCTCAAAGGTCTGCTCATCTGATTGTGAACACAAATGATTTATTGCCCCTGTGAATGACAAGGAGTCTTGGAAAGTGCTGTGCTTCTTTATGTCATTTTCTGGCTTGGAGTCATACCTTTATTCGCTTGAATTACAAAAGATGTGAGAATTCATCTGTTTTATTTTCTATTAAAAATCACCTGGCTTTAAACAAGAGCAAGAAGCAGCTATGATGTGGTGAATTCTTTCAACAGATACAAAGCAATGGAGCCCAATTCGTCCACTTATATAAATGCAATATTGATATGACAATCACTTTAAATAGCTATGCCACTTATTCAACAAAGCACTTAGAGATGTACTTTATTCTATCAATATTCAACAAGTCATATGAGAATAAACCTAAAAGTAACTCCTGTGATTAAATCTCATCAAGTAAACAAGATTTGAGCAAAGTGCTTACTGTTGAATGCTTTGCTGAATGGGGGTGGATTTCATTAAATATCACCCTCTTCGTTATTAGACTGGCATTTTATAAGCTAGCAACAACTTTCTTTTAAAGTTCTCTTATAAAATACCAGTTCAGTGTGGGAAGCATTAGAGTACAGCTCCCATTGAAAATCTCCAAACACATTGAATTCAGATCACATTTAATGTGCTCTCTTGGAATTTTTTTTTTTCTTCTGCAGAACAGAAGTTTGAGGTTTTCTAGGAAAAAAAGGAAATAGTTTTTTAAACCTTCATTTTCTGTTTGATTGAATTTCATGTTGTAGTTGGCTGTATCCTGTTTTTTTCCATGGCAAATAATACAGAAATAGTTAAAGTAACTTTCCTTTTTGGGGGCTGGGGGGCAACACAGATGTAAACTTTTGTTTTGTTCATGTTGTGTTTTCTTTACTTCTCTTTCCAGTAATGTTGAATGTATAAAACTCTTGCAAAGCAGTGGAGCAGATTTTAATAAGAAGGACAAATGTGGGAGGTAGGTAAATTATGAAGATCATTTAATAAAGAAAAAAAAAAATCCAGCAGGCAAGGAAGAAAGACCACCTCGGTCTGGAAATCATATGTTCCATGAAAAATGACCGTAAAATACAGTAGGAGTTTGGCCTTCCCTGCAGAACTCTTGCTGCTGCAATTATGTGCCAGACAGACAGGTGCAGACTTCATTAAATACATAAAAGCCATCCCACCCTCTTGAGTTTTCTGTTTTAAAAATATCACAGGTTTGGGTTTTTTTCCTTATTGCTTCTCTTATTGCCTAAATTCTTGTGCTTGTGTGCCCATGACAACACCTGGGTTGTGATAGGAGGATTGCTGCTATTTGATGTGCTTCCTAGAGGGCTTTTTTTCCCCATATGAAGTGTTGCTATGAGTGTTGCTATGCCAGCTAAATCAGATGCTGTGAAGGACACTGTGCTTTGTGCCTCCCAAGTGGAAGAAAGTAGCGTGTATGCAGAGCAACAGCAGAGGCTCTCACTGGGAATAGGTTGTTTGCAAGACACAGATTGAGGATCTGTATCCTATTAAGCTTTGTAGGAGCACCAAAACTTCCTATTAACACAATATTTTGTTAAATTTCCATAACTTTGCATTTTATCACAGGAATATAAGGTGCTGATACTGACTGCTGGAAATCTGTAGGAATGCAGCAATTAAGATTTATCATTATCCTCGGTGGTGCATATTGGAATATGAGGTAACAAATTGTCACTTATGTTCCAGGACACCTTTGCATTACGCAGCTGCAAATTGTCATTTCCACTGTATTGAGACACTGGTGACAACAGGAGCCAATATTAATGAAACAGATGACTGGGGACGCACCCCTTTGCACTATGCTGCTGCTTCTGACATGGACCGAAAGTAAGCAAGCCTCTTTGTATTCCTTGTTTAGAATGTTTTGCTAAATCAGTATTCTTCTGTTCTCTTCATGATGCTATGTCATTTGAGCCAAAAAAATGATCCTGCTAGCAAAGGAATTCCTCTCAGATGTATGCATAACTCCTCACTGAGTTGCTCTGACTATAAGCCAAATCCCCAGATGATGTGGCGTTTCAGCTCTACAGTTTACCTTTGATGTTATGCACAGTTGTGCAGCCACCCTGTCCTACTGAACTATTTTCACAACATTTTGTCTTCTGTTTTCCTCCATGTAGTTTCCTCACAAAAGTAAGCTCAGAGAATTTTCTACATCTGCTTTGCAAGTCCATCAGAAGCGATGGAGTGAGAGACAGCAGAAGGAGAGGTTTTCCCAGATGGGCTGCTGTGACAGAAAAACATCTGGCCATTCTGACAGACTTTCTGGAAAAGATGGGATAGATCTACCCATCAGTCTCTCTCCACTGTCAGAACTGATAAAAATGCTCACCCTGTCCAAACAGGTTGATTTCTAGAGACTTTAAAAAGAGAGAGGCCTGGGGAATATCCTTTGGCAGAATGCAGTGCTGTTCTTGTGAGAAAGGGGGAAAACAGCTGCAAAACTTAGAAATCCTGTGGTTAGTGACTGCAATTTCTAATTCCCAGATAGTTGCATATTTTGGCAATCTCTTCCTTATAACATACTGTATAAAACAGGCTCAATTATCCTGTTAGTGTTCTCTCTTAAAACTGTTAGCAACCTTTATTTATTTTAGGTCATCCCATGTTTCTCTGTCTCATTCCTTTAGACACTAAGGAACTATTTTTTTGGTTTCTTGTATAGTGAAATCTGGTAAAAATACATCTGGCTCATTCCCAGCAGAATACCACCTCAAAGCCACTGCAGGAAAACTTTGGCTTAGTTTATGGTAGAGGTTCGGATGCCATACCAGAGCCCTGATAGCTGCTTCATCATCTACTGTTATAATACTGATATAAAAAATGTCTTTCCTGTCACTCTCAAACTTGAACAGTGCTGGGAAGAAGGCAGTAGGATCTTAAAAGGTCTGTGCTCGGTGTTACAAGCAGAGTAGGCTTGTAGGAAGGCTTTCACCACTGGCTGTTTCTAATTCTGTCTTGCCCGGGAGAGCTGTTGTTCAGGGTGTTGAGAATTGCAATTCAGTGTGTGTTTTTCAGCTTTTGGCTCATCGTAAGTGAGGCTCCTGCATGTAAACAAGGTCTTGGTAAACATAGGAATGTAGCTACCTTCATCACTAATTAAAAAAAAAAAAAACAACCAACAAACAAAAAAAAGAGCTCCCTTTAGTCACATCCTGAACATTGGCAGGAATATGTGGCCTTTATTTCCCTCATATTCCAAACCTAAATTGGTTCTGATGTGGTGATGTTGTCTTCTCATTACATTTTCCAGTTTGAGATGTTCTGGAAGAAGCCTTGTTACATAGATGAAATGCTATTTTGCAGTCCGTGATTTTATAGGTCAGCATATCTTTTTTCCTGCAAAAAAACTCCCGAGGTCAGGCAATCTCAGTCCAAAAAATATCCATAACTATTTAACTTTGGATGTGGGCAGTTAATGAGCAGGGAGAAGTCTTGGTGCAGTGAGGTTGCCCTACTGTTTCAGCTATTTTGGTAACTGTTGTTGCTTATGGTCTTCCGAAAGTACCCTTCCCTGCAATGGAAATCACAATGGCATTTTCATTAAATAGATGATTGCAGTTTCTTAGCATGTAATGTTTCTCCAGATCATCACTTAGTCTTATTTTTGGATCTCACTGATTTGTAGTTAACTGAAAGCAGACACAGGTAGGAATTCCACCTGTTATGCGAGAGGTTTGAATTCCTGATCTGTACGCAGGTGTCTCCTGCTGCTTTTTTGAGCTTTGAACAGCTGTCTCGATTCAGCATAGCACGAGTACTATTCATGAGCTTACAATGTTAATATTCAGGGGAGTTATTTGTTAATAAATGATTTTTTTCTCAGTCAGTGGACATCAGACAGACCCTGGGTTTGTAGAAGAATCCATTATTGCTAGCACCCACATTGAAGACAGTCAAATCTTGATATTATTAATGGGAAATTGCATATTAAAGAAAGAATGTACTGTTCTGCATTGTGCAGAATCCAGTCTGGAATTTACCTGTTAAGTTGGGATTGAAATTAGCAAACAGTCCTTCTACAAACCTTTCAAGCTACTAATCTGTGATGGTTCACAGCAGTTTGGAAATGTATTCTGTATTAGCCTTGGTGGTCAAGAAAGATTGTAGTCACAAGGTCATGATTGTAAGATCACGAATCATAATCTTCTGTCTGCCATCCATCCAGCTGGGAAGCAGAGATGCCAAAAATGTTTCAGGTGTACAGGAAGAATCTGACCAGGAGATCCACACAGTGTTGCCAATATATTTTACAGAAAGTGAAAAGAGTCACCAACACAGCTAGTGCAGATTCAAGATAGAGTGATTTAGTATCAGTGACTAAAGTTTCCCAATGCTCTGAATCTTAAACGCTAGAGAAGAACTGGCAGGTTACTGTAGGAAGAAGCAAGCTGTGGTAATCTTGAGTTCCTCTCTGCAAAGGAAACAAAATGCACAATGTTGCTGTCAGAGAAAGGGGAGGATTCTAGAAAGTGATGGTCAAACTGTACCTGACAGAAACCAGAATTTTCCAGGTTGGTTTTCCCTGGCGTTGACTTGCAGGACGATAAACTGCTATGTAGTTGTCTCCCTTGCTTGCAAAACTTATTAGCTGCAGACCCATGCAGTACACCCATTTAACTTGTATAATTCTTGCTGTTGGCTGGAGGAGGTCAACTCTTTGACGAGGAGATTGGGAATGGGTGGCAGACTGTGTCAAAATTTTGAAAATAAGTTGCATTTTTCTGTCCTCTGTGCAAAGAAGAAAGAATATTTTAGGCAACTCCCATGAAAATGCTGAAGAACTTGAAAGAGCCAGTGAGTTGAAGGAAAAAGAAGCTGCATTGTAAGTTTGGTGTCAATAAAGCAGTTAGACCTCATTTCTGGAGAATGCCACTGCTTTGGGCTGCAGTTTTACACTCTGCTTTTGCTCATTCATTGCTCTGCTAAACACAATGCTTGGCTTTAATGAGGGCTAACCTAAAGAAAAAAACCTCTACGCTTTTCTCTGTGCACATTTCCCCTAATATTTCTGTTTCTATGCTTGTTGCTGTTTCTTATTGGAAAATGTACTGCTTCAGTAATTTAATAATTCTTTAGTGTTATGCACTGTCTTATTTTAATGCTTTGCACTGAGTATGTATGTTGCAAAAAGAAGTAGCCAATGGCTTCCTCAATGCAGTTACTCGGATTAACATTTTCATCTAGCTGCTAATGACTTTTTCATTTTAAAAATCCCATTTCATATGACAGCCTTACATTCACTACAAATTACAAGCTATGGAAGAAGGTACTAATAAGAAAATGATGATTTCTTGATGGTATAAGAAAAAGTGGCAGGAACTATAAAAAGTGTAAGAGATCCTTTGAAAAACAGATGATTTAAAAAAAAGCCAACAAAGAAGAAAATATATGTATATACGTACATGCCAGGAAATTAACTCAGTTAAGTATTTATTTTTCAGCTTGCCATAGTGCATGTTTGGAGGCCAATGGTTTGATATATGAGTTTTATGTGAGTAGTAGCAGTTCTAGGCTATTTACATCATGGTACAGAGTTGTGTTGTTTTCTTTCAGGGTTTGTAATAGAAAATCATTTTGTAATCTAGAGTAGTTGCAAAAGTTAGGTTGAAGATTGTTTTTTTGAAGATGATCCTCAAAGATGAGTGGGGATTTTCTGTTTAAAAAAATGGTGAATGTGGGGAGCTATTGGTGAAAAGTGATTTGAGGTGCTGCTAGAAATACAGAATAAATGGCTAGTTTTCAGCGCCAGTCCTACTGGCAGTGAGGGGTGAGTCTGTCAGATACTGTGAGCTCACATTTACACTAGTGAATTGTCCACAGGTGTCTAGAGTTCCTTCTACAGAATGATGCCAATCCATCCATCCAAGACAAAGAGGGGTACAACACTGTGCATTATGCTGCTGCATATGGGCACCGGCAGTGTTTGGAACTGGTGAGTGCTCAGACACTTCGGAGGTCTCTTAACTGCTGATATATATATGCGTGTATATGCTAGTATTATGAATTCCCTTGACAGTCACTATTTGAGTTCTTTGGATATTCACAAATCTGTGAAAACCTGTGATATGGTGCAGTAAACTCAAATACATGCAACCAGATTTATCTTAAAAACATGTTAATCTTGATAATCCCATCCTTCTTCAACAAGCCGGTGCTTAAATGTTGTCTTTGAGTCAAGTTTATGTGTGCTCAAATTATTTTTAACTGTGATCAAAATATTCCCGGTGTATGCGTATGTGCCAGTAATACGGGACAGTTCCCAGTGCATGGCGATGTGTGTGCCTTCTGCAGCTGGCACATTGTCTGACTTGCAAACTGAGAGAGTAAATAGCTTTTGTCAGCAGCATACCTGCAGTGCTTTTTTGCCTCTGGTGAAACAATAGCAGCAGATTAACCTTGTATACAGTATAACTGGGGGGTGTTTGTTGTTGTTTTTTAATATCCTGGACCTGAATGATTAGAAATTGTATCTCATAAGAAGCCAAAAATTTTTAGCCAAAAATTGTATTTAGGAGATGTATGGTATAGTTTTAGAAAAGTTTGTGACTTGTAAAAATAAGTGTCATGAAGATGGGTGTTAACTGAACTGCTTGATATACAGGGCAATGCAAAATTATTGTGTCACATATAAATAGACTTTAATGGCTTTAAAAAATATCTCTAATTAGAAAATTGTGCTGATATCCGTGCTTTAGTAAGAATACTGTGTGCTGTTTAGTGTTTTATGTTGTTTGGTTCTTTCTTTCTTTGTTGAAGAGCCAAAGCCCTTAATTATTGAAAAGGTACTCTGCACAGCACACGCTGCTTTCACACCACATTTACCAGAGCTGTCAGTCACTGCCATCGCAGGAGAAATACTGCCGCAGGCCTACGTCAGGGTCACAACAGCTTGGAAACCGTGACCTGTAATTATGCCAGGGCAGCCCTGGGTCAGAATTTCAGGTGGGATGTTAATGCCTTTTTAGCTCCCACCTGCAAGCATGTATATTTAGGACACTTAAAATATCACTGCTCCTTTGTTGCTTGTGGCAGCGAGTTTGGCCTTTCCTTGTTTAGAGCCTTCTCCTAGAGCTGACCTCTTGTGACTCTGCCTGTGGGGATGGGGGGGGTGTCCTCTGCTGAGTCTGCTGCCCATTTGGAAACAAAAGCAAATGTTCTTGGTATTTGAAGGGCATATATATAGAGAGTAGCCTCCTCTGTGCTGTGTACAAGCCTATGCTTGTATGGCCGCAGCAATGTGTATTGCAACCTTACCCGTGTCTTAATACCAGATTCTTGCATGACTTGCACGAGCAGACATTTCCATAAAAGCATCTTCACTGGGGAATTCTCCGTCAGCCTCCATATCATAGTTCCTGTATGCTGTGAGGCATGGAGCAGGCACAGAGCAAGGTTTCCCTTTTCTTTTGCTTGTTGCTATGCATGTTTTCTGGCAACATATCAATTGCAGACAGTGGCCTGCTATCGAGTCCTAGTGTTGCTTAGGCTTGCCAAACAAAAGGAAGAGCTGGGAATGCAATGCATATCAGAGATGTTGGGTTTTCTTTTAATTTTGGAGGGTGAAATGCAAACTGTGGGCTAGAGACAGCTGTCCAGCAAGTATTCTATACTTGGACAGAGAAATTCAATGTTTTTCCATGTCAGTCTGCCCGTATTTGAGACTGTAGCTGCAGTATAGAAACCCAAGGTCAAGCATAATTTCCAGAGTTATAGTCATACAGCTGTTGTGTGTACACTGGTGAAAGAAAACTGCCATGAATTATAGCCTTTGGCATACAAAGGACCATTATTGTGTAGCAGGGTGTCTGCCTGAAAGTTTTGTGGGGACCAAGATTTTGCCATTGGTGTTTTGAGGCTGACAGGCAACTCGTTTTCTCTCTGGAATCCAAAAGCTGAGTGTACCAGAAAGCATTTGTGCTTGATCAACAGTAGGGCCAGGACTCACCATCACTGCACCCACTGCCAGAAGGTGATTCTGTTTTGTTTGTGTGAGCAGTTGTCCCTTAGCTCTAGTGAATTACAGAGTCCTTAACTTTATATTCGATAACAGTGACTAACTGATACAGGTACGACCTTTACATTGATTTCTTTGCATTGCTTGGATTCTGGGTGGCAAAAGGACCAAGACTGAAGTCTTGAATAGCTGAAAGGTAATTGTGCTGTGGGCATGAAATGGAAATAATCCTCGTGCCTATGTTTATTCACTTATTCCAACATGAGGCTCCCAATTGTTAAGCCAGTTGTTGATTCCTGTGCTTCATCTCATCAAGTAGTGTCATCTATAGACACCACAATCCCATAATGCAAGCAATTATTCATGAATTTTCGAAGGCTGTGTCTAAAAGCTGCAATAAATATTTATCTGGCACAGATGGAAAGGATCCTTGCCGTCTTGTGAGGCTGACTGGTGGCTTGGTCACAGTTTGTTGTGCTCTCTGTGATGGACCTATGACAAGGACATTGTTATGAACCATGATCTTTATTTCTGGTAGCTATTAACTACGGTACATTGGCTGCTCTATTTACTCATAGTTGAATGAAGCATTCAGCAAAGTTTAATTGCTTCTAGGCATGACTTTTAGCTAGAGGCCCCTTCTTTTTCACATAGCAGAAAGAACAGTAAGTCATCAAATGCCATCTTAGTCCTCAAGCCTTCTGTGTATCTGGTTTGAAAACTAAACCAACGGAGATCAAGAAAATGGGCAATGCTCTTTGCCTTGTTTTTCTCTCCTGAGCTGCACCGGGTTCTCCTCAGTAATGGTGCAGGCAGCTGCTGATTCCACTTAACGTGGCAGGTTGATGTGGTGGGTTAGTGTGTAGAGTAGGTGCACAAGGACAGCTGGTTATGTCTGAGGAGTACTTGGCTTGTTTTATTGCTATGTCTTGGAAATACATCTTTCTTGTTGCTTTTCTTGTCTTCAGTGCTAATGAAGAGGAAAATAAGATTCGCAATATTTTTAGTTGCTCTTACTTAAGGAACAGTGGGAACCCAGCAGCCCTAAGTCCAATGTAAATATGTCTGTAGATAGGCAGGGAGATTTTTTATTTTGGTTTCACACGTGCAATAACAGAGTTAAATTGATGTCTGTCTTAAGAAATTGCTAACTTGGAAACACTAATCTGTATCACAGGAACTCTGACATACGGAATAATCCCAAAATATTTCCAATCCCATCCATCCTGAAGAAGAGATTTTCAGGCAGGATTATTGAAATAAAAACATTTTTCATTGCCAAATTAACTGTTATTTTACTGGTTTATCCCTTGGGTAAATATATTTGGTTTATTATTGATAGCTCATAGATGAAAATATGTAGGAATTATCTTCCCTAGAACAAGACAGTTCTTTATGGTCATAAACTGTTAGAGGAAAGAGTTCATACAAAATATGAAGCTTTAATTCAGATCAAAACTAAGGCAAAGTGGGTGCAACATAAGCTTGATTTTATGAGTAATGGTTACTAGTATTTCTCTGCATGCACAATACCAAACTTGAGCAAAATGTTAGGGAATTATTTGAGTGTTCCAGAATATGTCAGGCTTATCAAAGACCTTGTAACATTAATTTTTCTTCCTCTCTCCCCTGTTTTTTATAACAGGTATCTAAAATAGCTTATTTCTAAATAAATGGTCACTTAAAAAAGAAAATCTGAAGAAGATGATGCAGGATCTGGTGGAGTTTCTTTCGCTGAGGGATCTGATCTGTGCTTTAAGCACCACAGCTTCTCAGCATTACAAAATATTTACACATTTGAGTACAGTTTAGGAAAGGCTGGTTTATCTAGGAAAATATATTTTTATTTTTTTACTTTTGTGTTAACTGTGAGCCAAATACCTTGGCTGGGATTTAGCTAAATTTCTTTGTGGGTAGAGAAGGGGTATTAGGAGAAATAAAAATTAAGAGTGAAAAAGTTATATCCTTTGACCCGAACAAATAAAATTTGTGTTCAACCACAGAGCTCAATGACAGAAGCTTTTTTTCCTGGAGAATCTTTAGGTTATCTGGGATAGTAGTGGGGTAGTTGCCCTGCAATGAATGACGTGATGCTGCTAAAGAGAGAAGAGTGGAAGCAGATTCTTGAATTCTTTCTCCATCTGTAAGGAGCCATTCATAAAAGCCGAACGGTGAGCATGTGTGCTCGCAAGCAACTGAAGCTCCCATCTGCTTTCCTGCTCCTGAAAATAACCTCACGTTTGTTTAGATTGGGACTGACTTCTTTGGTGTTGGGTAGTCAAGGGATGTCGGTCATAATCACTAGCTGGTATTTTAGAGCTGATCACATCACCAAACTTCTTGGAAAAAAGAAAAATATGGTGGGGTTTTGTTGGTTGGTTTTTTGGTGGGTTTTTTTTTCCCCACAGAAATGATCTCTTATCACAAAATCTTTATTGGTGTGAAAAGAGTGAAGTTTAAATTGTAATTTCACGTTAAAATCCTATCTGGAGAGACAGTCAAGCACTTTGTGCTGGTAAAAATAGGTTTATATGCAGCGTTAGGGCAAACAGAATTAAATGCCTGTCTCCTGTAGTGAAATCTCTTCTCTGACTGTAAGAATTGATGGTCATTTTTTCTTTTAATCTGGTCGTCTTCTTTTAATCTGGTCTTCTCTTCATCAGCAAATGAAATTCACTCTTTGGCTAATAGAAATTGAATCGGCACAGGGGCTAATTCATTTGAGGATGGGAGGAGAGCATGGTTTAACTGAAAGCTATGTCCAAAAACGTGGAAGCTCCTTTATTAGTGGAGGGAAGCTCAAAGTCTTTAACTCGAGTGGCTCTGAAGAGGAAAAGAACTTAGGAACTTAATGCTTGAAAATAACTTTGATAAACCTAATTTGTCTGTCAGTCCTAGAATCACCCAAATAATGGTAGATTGATTCAGTTACTTCAGTTGTGATGTCAGCATTAGTGCGATATGTATCCACTGGTTAA